CATGTGAGGGAGCATGTGTGTATCTCCAAACCAAACACATCGCCATCGAGTTGATGCTGACTCACAGCAACCCCCACAGGACAGGAGAGGACAATCACTGTGGGTCTCTGCCTGTAACTCTTTATGGGAGTAGAAAGTCTTGCCTTTCTCCTGAAGTGGGGCTGCTGGTTTTGAACTGTTGACCTTGTAATTAAAAGACACCAGGGCTTCTGTGTGTGTATCTGTTTGGTATCAAAGTTCCGTCTTCAATAGCCACCATGAAATCTGGACCTGTTTATCTGTGACACACCACTTGCCCCTTAGAGGTATGGTTTTCCAGAATATTCCACACACAGTCCTGCTGAGGAGCCCCTGCAGGGAGCCAGACCCACTCTGGCCAGCTCTGACTGTCCACCCAGGTCTGTTTCATTGGCTCAGACAGACAGTCCGACAGCTGTTTGCTCCTAAGTCTTTCCCAGACCAACTCAGCTGTGAAACACCTGCAGTTAAGCCCACATGAGACAGATGATTTACGTCAGTGCTTAATGTGCACGCACCCCAAAAAATCATGATAAGCAAAGGCATTTAAAGCAACAGAAACAACTGCCCTTGGAACAGAAAGGCCAGCTTTTAAATAGCCACAAGAATAACCCATCCAGGCCAAGTCCAGCCAGGCAGCTGACCACTCATTTCCCCTGACCATTCCTCTCCCTCCCTCCGGCATTGAGGGCAGGTCCTGGGAGCAGGTGTTCACAGCAAGCTCAGTCCTTGGGGTGATTATCCCAAATATCACAGATGTAAGATATCGTAAAGGAATCGCCCTAGATCAATAGCTACAGGGAACTTAGGATAAAAACTGACATCTTAGAGAGCGATGCGGATATTTCAGACGGACAAAAGCTACTCAAGGTGTATTCTTCCTTGTTTGGGCTAGACGTGGGTTCTATTCCAGAGTGATAAGGAGTGTGAGACTTCGTCTCAAGTACTTTGGACATGCTGTCAGGAGAGATGGCCGGGCTTTGAAGAAGGACACCATGCCTGGTCAAGAGGAAGGCCTTCCAGAAGATGGATCGACCCTGTGGCTGCAACGATGGGTTCAGGCACAGGAACCACTGTGAGGACGGCGCAGGGCTGGGCAGTGCTTTGTTCCCTTGGGCATGGAGTCACAATGAGTCGGAACCAACTGGATCACAGCTAATACCAACAAAAACAGGAGCAAAGTAGGTTTTCTCTTTCTGCATATGCCTGGAGTCTCTGAAAGGAGCAGGCAGCTGGAGGGAGGGGAGTCAATTTCAGCCGCAGAGTTCCCGTCGACAAAGGGAAGGGTTTGGGGCTCAGTGGTGTCAGCAGTAGGCATCTTGTTTACCAAGTGCATTCCCAAGGGGCAGAGAAAGGGGGTGTATCACCCAAGCCACCCGAGCTTTGCTCTGGGCTTCTTTGTCTTACTGGAAGGGGCACTGTGAGGGACAAGTTTCCCGTGAACTTGGCTGGGCCAGGATTCTCCCTGGTTTGGCAGGAACCCCCTCCTGATATGACTGAACATAATGTAACCAACATCATGAGGGGATCTGCTGTGAGAAGCCAAGGATTGGGGTAGAGTACAAACTCCCCCATCACTCAGGTCACAGCCCTGATGCAAATCAAAGGACGTCTCCTCAGGGGGCCAATCTAATTCCCATATAAACGGGTACTGTAGGGAAGCTTGGAGCCCTGGAAGTCTAGTGATTATGCTTCGGGCTGCAAACCGCAAAGTCAGCAGATTGAAACGCCCAGCCACTGTGTGGGAGAAGGATGCGGCTTTCTACTCTCAGAAAGAGTTACCGTCTCTAGAACCTGCAGGGAATTCTACTCTGGCCTATAGGGTCACTATGGGTCAGAATCAACTCCATGGCTGTGAGTGTGGTGGGGAAGCTTGCTTGCTTCCCCCAACCCCACCTCCGCCCTGGTTCTGGTGCCTTCATCTGGCTCATTAACTACTGCCATGTTGTCTGCGGTCCTGGGAGCCATCTGACCTGCTGACCTAGGTCTCATCTGCCTCTGCCGTTGGTGTGGCACCCCTGCCAGTGATGGAGCTGGAACTATATCAGACCCCAGAGCTACTCCGGTCTGGAGAAGATGCCAGCCTAACCTCTAACCCACAGACTTGAAACCGAACTGAACTCAACTGCTTCTACAACTGTGTGAACATATACATTTCTCTCTCATGTGTCTGTGTGTGTGTGTGTGTATAGATACACACACCATATACATATATTCTCTTATATACATATGAGAAAAAATGTATACACATATATGTAAATATAAATATAATATACAGAAATATATGTATATATAAACATATATTTACGTATATTGATACCGCTGGTTTTGGTTCTTCTGAGAATTCAGCCTAACACAAGTATACACGCAGGACAGAGAATCAGCTGGAAGGAGACGTTGGGAGCGCTCTGAATGTGCTCCTCTGCTGACAGCCTAAAGCCCAGAAGACGGGGTCCACCCCTGGGCCCTTCAGAAGAAAGGCCTGGTGATTCACTTCTGAAAGACCCGCCATTGAGGACCCTACAGAGAACAGGTCTACCCCCACACGGGTGGGGCCGCCACGAGTCTGAATCTTGGCCGTTCGATGAGAAGATGTTGGCGTTTTGGATGCAGTCACCCTTCAGAGATACGAGGGGGCTTCGAGAAGCTTGTAGGAAACCACCAGTCTTTAAAGCCTCTTTAGATGCTAGGTTTGGTTTTGCTGTTTTATTGCGTAGGGGCCGTAGCGTTGGTTCCAACTCGCAGAGATCCTGTGTCCAACAGAACAAAGCGCCACCCGCCGGGCACCGTGCTCACTCGGGTCTCGTGCTGGGCGCATTGCTGCAGCCCCTGTGTCCGTCCATCTTGTTGGGGGTCTTCCTCTTTTTCCCTGCCCCTCTACTTTAGAGCACAATGACCTTCTCCAGGGACTCTTCTCCCCCATAACATGGCTGAAGTATGCCATCTTTGCTCCCACGCAGCATTCTGGCTGTGCTTCTTCCAAGACAGCCTGTTTGCTCTTCCGGCTGTTCGTGGTCCTTTCAATCGTCCTTACCAGCACCTTCATTCAAGGACACTTTGTCTCCCTTGGCCTTTCTTTCTCAGTGCCCTTGCTCCAACGTGCAACAATGCGATGAAAAATAAATATTTGGAGAATGATCAAATGCGACGACACAGAGACAGAACGAGAGCACCTTGTTGGGAACACGGCATTGGTGCCTGAGCCTGATGCAGCAGGGCCGCAAACTTTCCCTTTAATAACACCAGACCTCGCGATCTGCAACACGCTAGGGGTGCGTGCAAAGAACATCACTCAAGTACGCTCTACTTCCATCATGTGAGCTATTCCTGTTGAAATGTCTCTGGGACAGATGCCTACACGTTTCCAGTGGAAAAAGGTGACATCAGCTTGGAAGTATTCGAGGAACCCCAAGTGGAGCTGGCAAAGCTGGACAGGGCGTCAGGTCAGGTGGATGACCCTTGTCTCTTCCCTCTGCACAGATGTGAGGATTGATTGGGTAGTGCAAACTGCTCAGGTCTGACCCAAAGGTTGTGGGTTCAAACCCATGCAGGAGGGTCATGGAAGAAAGGCCTGACAATAAGCTCCTGTAAATAAAGAGAACCTTCCAGAGCATAGTTGTCTTTCGCTGTAACCCACGGAGTCTCGTGAAAGGGAATCCACTCTGAACAGCAGTTTGTCGTGCTGGCTTGGTTGGTTTTAGCTTTCCTTCGGTGGAGCTCACACTGTTGTGAGGTTATCAGGTGACTTGGAGTTGGGCCCAATGCCCGGCATGTTCCATTCATGTTCTCTGCATGCACTTGGTGCTCATCAGCTCAGATGAACTTGATCCATCACCTGAACCACATGCCTATTTTCTCTGGTCACTGCAAACAGACACCATGGACAGGAGGCGGGGGCAGGTGCATTTGTTCCACAGTTACTGGGGGTGCATGGGGATGAAGTGTGGGGTGTGATAAGCTGTGGCTGCCCGTAATCTTTCAAAATGGTGTCACCATAAATATTTTGTTGCTACTCAGATTTTTAGCACCGAACCCCTCAGAATTGGACAGCCTCTTCCTCCCTGACGGAGCACTTGATGTACTTTCTGATGAAGACCAAAGACCGCGGTCTGCAGTACGGGTCAGCATTCTCAGAAGTGGACCAAGAGGGAGCATCATGGTCAGAGGAGACGAGATTGAAGGGCTGAGGATTTCCTTTCGTTTGGATCCCAATCAAGGCTCAAGGAAGTGACAGACAAGAAAATCAAATGATGTATCGCATTGCACACGATCTAGTGTTAACCAGCAAAGACGTCACTTTGAGGACTAATGTGTGCTTGGCTCCATCCATGGCATTTTGCACATCACCTTATAGGCATTTGAAAGCTGGAGAATGAACAAGGGAGAGCACACGTGATTGGATGTGTTTGAGCGATGGCAAAATGCTGGCAAAGAATACTGCAAGTACCACGGACTGCCAAAAGGACAAACAGATCTGTCTTGGAAGAAGGACACCCAGAGTGCTCCTTAGAGGCAAGGATGGCGAGCCTTTGTCTCACACACTTTGGACATGTTGTCAGAGAGGCCAGTCCCTGGAAAAGGACATCAGCCTTGGTCAAGTGAGGGGGTGGTGGTGGTTAGTGACAAAGAGGAAGTCCCTCAGGAGATGGATCGACACAGTGGCTGCCACAATGAGCCGCAACAGAAGAGTTGTGAGGCTGATGCAGGACAGGGTGGGGCTTCCTTGCATTGCACCGAGGGTTGGTAGGGGTCAGAGGTGAATCGGTGAATGTAACAGCAACGCTCTTTTCTCTGTGGCAGTTTGGTCCAATTTTACACAACAGGTTGTACTTCCTGTGCCGAATCAAGTGACTCTTCAGAGGGAGACCCACATGGCCTCAAGGATGGAATCCATCCCCAAGAACACAGACACCCCGGCAGCCCTGGGGCTGGAGCCCTGCACATGGCCCCCTGCCCCAGTGTCAGGCCCAGCACCTCCTTACCTGAGACCAGGGTGAGGTGACCCAGGCAGCCCGTGGGGGCCCTGCAGAGGGGTATAGCGGGTGCTTGGGGCACGGAGACAGGGCACAGGCACGTTCCAGCTCCAGAGCCGGCCTGGGCAGGTGCAGACACTTCTTGGAGGTCAGCTCTCGGTACTTCCCTGAAATGAACTTCTCAGCACATCTCAGGAACCTGGTCTGGGTCCCCCTGTCACAGGTGACTGAGCACTGGAAAACAAAACAGAGCCTGGCATGGAAAGGGTTTCTCTGCTGTGACATTGCCGCAGGAATGTCCCCAGTGGTGTCAGCCGAGGCTTTTCCTGTGGGTGACAGTGGGAGACATTCTATGAAGGGGAGAGCCCTGGAGACTTGAAAAGGCATGGTACTTTCTGTCTAGTCTTGGTGCACAGTGGTTAAATCAATCACTGCTAAGCAAAGGGTCAGTGGTTCCAATCCATCCGCCACTCTGTGGGGGAAAGACGAGGCAGTAAGCTTCCATACAGACGTAAGGCCTTGGAAATCATTATGGGGCAGTTCTACTCCACCCAATTGGGGGCTTTCCTTGGGAATCCCATGGAGAGCAGAGAGCTCTGGCATCTCTTAAACCAGCAACAAAAGGTCTTGAGGTCCTTGCGGCATAGGGTTGTGGGGCGTGATGTGGGCAGGGCAGTCAAACCATGAGGGTGGGATTGCATGTTGGGTGATGTGACCAGCATAATGGCCAGTCAGTGGTCACTACTGCCCACCAGCAGGCTTGACACTGGCCTCTGAAACAGGGGTGGGGAGAGGAAACTTGTTGTACAAGGTCAGAGGTGAGAATTGGCCATGCAAACCGTGGGAAGCCTCAGAGAGCAAAGCTGTGTGTCCTGCAGGCCTCCTGAGTCTGATCTGTCCCTGCTATTAGAAGCCCCAGTGTGGCCTGAGGTCCTAGGGAGGGGCTCCTACGAAGAGTGTCCCCTGAGGAGTGTCCTTTGAGGAGGGAGCTCCTGTGGAGGGAGACACTGAGGTAGGAGACCCTGAGGTGGGGCCTCTTGAGGAAGGAGACCCTGGGGTGGAGTCTCATGGTAAGGGGGCTTCTGGGTAGAGGACTCCTGACAAGAGGGATATTCCTGGGAGGAGGACCCTGTAGAGGTGGATCATGGGAGTGGTCTTCTGAGGGTGGTACCCACATTGCCAATTTGAGCCAGAACCGAGTGGGTGGTGCTAAACAAGGCTGACTGGCCACTTCCCTGGGAGCAGGCTCACCTCCCTGGGACTGAGCTCACCTCCCTAGTACTGGGCTCATCTCCTTGGGACTGGGGTCACCTCCCTGGGACTGGGGTCACCTCCCTGAGACCAAGATCACTTACCTGGGACCAGGCAGACACCACCCACTGCAGTGTCTTGTGCTTGTGGCAGCGTTTCAGCAGACATGCCTCGTGAGTCCTGGGCTTGGGCTCCACGGAGCAGACGGTGTCTGGCAGCAGCTGTGCTCTGGCCAGCGGGTTGGTGCTCTTACAGGTCACGGCTCGTTTCCTCCACCCTTTCCCACAGGTCCGGGAGCACTGCACAGGAGGAAGGAGGAGTTCGTCCCCTGAATCTGCCTGTGTCAAGGCTCTGAAAACAGGCCCCTCAGGGCTGGGGGGGTCTTGTAATGCAGCCCACAGGAATGGGCCTGCCCTCCACCCACATACCACCTACCCATGTTACCTCTGCCCAGGGCCCGGTGCTCCAGGCAGGAGGGCAGCTCTGGGAGTTGCAGGCCTGTCTACTGGGGGGCATGGGCTGAGGGCACAGGCTGGCCAAGACTGGCTGTGCTCTGAATCGGGCCCGCTGTGTACACTGGACAGTCCGACTCTGCGTTCCACTGCCACAAGTCCGGCTGCAGGCACTCCAGTTCCCGATGGACCAGCTGGGGAGACAAGAGAGATCCTAAGGCTTAGGCTGTCGCACGCCCTTACCAACAGTGGCTGGTGGTGTCCACAGTCCACCACCTGTAGTCACAGTAACTGTAGGTTTCCCAGCTGCGTGATTCTCCCCTGCAAAAGGTCGTCTTAAAGTCCCATAAACAATTATAGCACTCTGTTGATGGACATGCACCTGATTCTTATGCTTGTGAAAGCTGGACTGTGAAAAAGTAAGACAGAAGAAGAGTTGACTCCTTCATTCAAACTGGCGTTGGCAAAGAAGCTGAGAGAAACCGTGGACTGCCACAGGACAGAACCACCCAGTCACAGGAGACATACCACCAGAATGCTCCTTAGAACCCAGGATGGCCCAACTTTGGTGGGCTAACTTTGGACAAGAATAACTCATCAGTTCTAGAATTCTGATGGAGTACTGAGTTCTATGTTGGGTTATTCCCCCCAAGGTCAGCAGTTCAAAGCTATCTTATGCTCTGAGGGAGAAAGAAGAGGCTTTCCGCACCCATAAAGGTTGTTGGGTGTTAACAAACACAGGGAGAAGGGAACAACAAGTGATTCAAAATCAATGGTGAGGAGGGTGTAGTAGACTTAGTAGGGCTTGATCCGGGGCAATGTAACCAAGAGGAATTACTGAAATCCAAATGAAGGCTGAACATGATAGTGGGACAAGAGGAAAGTAAAAGGAAATAGAGGAAAGAACTAGGAGGCAAAGGGCAT